ACTATAAACACCTCTACGCAAATAAACTAGAAAATCTGGAAGAAATGGTTACATTTCTGGACATACACCCTGCCCAACACTAAACCAGGAAGAAGTCAAATTCCTGAACAGACCAATAACAAGTTCTGAAATTGAGGCAGTAATTAATAGCCTACCAACCAAAAAAAAGTCCAGGACAAGATGGATTCACAGCCAAATTCTACCAGAGGTACCAAAAGGACCTGGTACCATTCCTTCTGAAACTATTCCTAACAACAGAAAAAGAGGGACTCCTCCCTAACTCATTTTATGAGGCCAGCAGCATCCTGGTACCAAAACCTGGCAGAGACACAACAAAAAAAGAAAATTTCAGGCCAGTATCCCTGATGAATATCGATGTGAAAATACTCAATAAAATACTGGCAAACTGAATCCAACAGCACATCAAAAAGCTTATCCACCAGGATCAAGTCAGCTTCATCCCTGGAATGCAAGGATGATTCAACATGCAGAAATCAATACACGTAATCCATCACACAAACAAAACCAATGACAAAAACCACATGATTATCTCTACAGAAGCAGAAAAGGCCTTTGATAAAATTCAACACCCCTTTATGCTAAAAACTCTCAATAAACTAGGTAACGATGGAATGCATCTCAAAATAATAAGAGCTGTTTATGACAAACCCACAACTAATATCATACTGGATGGGCAAAGGCTGGAAACATTCCCTTTGAAAACCGGCACAAGACAAGGATGCCCTCTCTTACCACTCCTATTCAACATAGTATTGGAAGTTCTGGCCAGGGCAATTAGGTGAGAGAAAGAAATAAAGTGTATTCAAATAGGAAGAGAGGAAGTCAAATTGTCTCTATTTGCATATGACATGATTGCATATTTAGAAAACCCCATCGTCTCAGCCCAAAATCTCCTTAAGCTGATAAGCAACTTCAGCAAAGTCTCAGGATACAAAATCAATGTGCAAAAATCACAAGCATCCCTGTACAACAATAACAGACAAACAGAGAACCAAAACATGAGTGAACTTCCATTCACATTTGCTACTAAGAGAATAAAATACCTAGGAATACAACTTACAAGGGATGTGAAGGACCTCTTCAAGGAGAACTACAAACCACTGCTCAGGACACAAACAAATGGAAGAACATTCCATGCTCATGGATAGGAAGAATCAATATCTTGAAAATGTCCATACTGCCCAAAGTAATTTAGAGATTCAATGCTATCCCCATCAGGCTACCATTGACTTTCTTCACAAAATTAGAAAAACCCAACTTTAAACTTTATGTGGAACCAGAAAAGAGCCTGTGTAGCCAAGACAATCCTAACCAAAAAGAACAAAGCTGAAGGCATCACGCTACCTGACTTCAAACTATACTATAAGACTATAGTAACCAAAACAGCATGGTACTGATACCAAAACAGATATATGGACCAATGGAACAGAACAAAGGCCTCAGAAATAACACCACACATCTGCAACCATCTGATCTTTGACAAGCCTGACGAAAACAAGCAATGGGGAAAGGATTCTCTATTTAATAAATGGTGTTGGGAGAAATGGATAGCCATATGCAGAAAACTGAAACTGGACCCCTTCCTTACACCTCATATAAAAATTAACTCAAGATGGATTAAAGACATACACCTAAAACCTAAAACTGTAAAAACCGTAGAAAGAAACCTAGGCAATACCATTCAGGACATAGGCATGGGCAAAGACTTCGTGACTAGAACACCAAAAGCAATGGCAACAAAAGCCAAAATTGACAAATGAGATATAATTAAATTAAAGGGCTTCTGCACAGCAAAAGAAACTATCATCAGAGTGAACAGGCAACCTACAAAATGGGAGAAAATTTTTGCAATCTATCCATCTGACAAAGGGCTAATACCCAGAATCTATAAGGAACTTAAACAGATTTACAAGAAAGAAGTCAACAACCCCATCAAAAAATGGGTGAAGGATTTGAACAGATACTTTTCAAAATAAGACATTTATGCAGCCAACAACCATATGAAAAAAAGCTCATCATCACTGGTCATTAGAGAAATGCATATCAAAACCACAATGAGATACCATCTCCCACCAGTTAGAATGGCGATCATTAAAAAGTCAGGAAACAACAGATACTGGAGAGGATGTGAAGAAATAGAAATGCTTTTACACTATTGGTGGGAGTGTAAATTAGTTCAACCATTGTGGAAGACAGTCTGTCGATTCCCCAAGGATCTAGAACTAGAAATACCTTTGGACCCAGCAATCCCGCTACTGGGTATATACCCAAAGGATTATAAATCATGCTACTATAAAGACACATGCACACGTGTGTTTATTGTGGCACTGTTCACAATAGCAAAGACTTGGAACCAACCCAAATTCCCCTCAATGATAGACTGGATAAAGAAAATGTGGCACATATATACCATGGAATACTATGCAGCCAAAAAAAAGGGTGAGCTCATGTCCTTTGCAGGACCATGGATAAAGCTGGAAACCATCATTCTCAGCAAACTAACACAAGAACAGAAAACCAAATGCCACATATTCTCACTCATAGGTGGAAATTGAACAATGAGAACATATGGACACAGGGAGGAGAACATCACACACCAGGGCCTGTCGGGGTGGGGGGCTAAGGGAGGGATAACGTTAGGAGAAATACCTAATGTAGATGACGGGTTGATGGGTGCAGGAAACCAGCATGGCACGTGTATACCTATGTAACAAACCTGCACATTCTGCACATGTATCCCAGAACTTAAAGTATAATTTTAAAAATGTAATAATGAACAGATTGGCTTTTTTTTGTTTTGTTTTGTTTTGTTTTTGAGACGGAGGCTTGCTCTGTCACCCAGGCTGGAGTCCAGTGGCGCAATTTTGGCTCACTGCAAGCTCCACCTCCCGGGTTCACACCATTCTCCTAATGAACAGATTGTTTTTAGAGTATTTGATTTTGAGTTTAATATTTTCTTAAAACAACAAAACAAACATATTAGTTTGGGCTTTATATCAGTCAAGTAGTAATTGTCATTTTAGAAAAGATAACCATCTAAATGTTTGGCATACTTTAGATAATTATATGATGAAGATCTCTATACTTCATTTAAACAAAATTACAGTTTAGTCAATATTTTAAAATTGTTTATTATTTTTAAAAGTTTCATCACTATATTTAACAACTTTGCCATAGTATGCAGGCATTATACTGTCATTGGTATTAGTCAGGTTCAATGATTTTATTCATTTCAAATTGAACTTGGTGTTATAAGTTTTGTTATAGCTATTACCTTCTTATAGCTTTATAAGTTCTTCAGGTCATTATTTATATAAATTTTATCTGGCTTGTAAGATAAAACCTCATAAAACATAAATTTTGAAAAATATTTTTTAAAAATTTGTGAAACACTTACCCATTAGCTCCACATTAAAATTTATTTTCTCCCAAACTTACACTACGTCTTGAATTATTCAGACAAGCAAAGATAAGTAATGAGTCTGAAGAATGTGCTTTGGTTTTTACCTTTAAAACTTGGACAGTGATTTGGAAGTGCCCCTTAGTACAACTCCTTTTCTAAATAAAATTCTGCTCCATTTGCAACTCTGAACATGTAAATTGAAGGGGTGGCTCCCTTGGCCAGTGCCTGACCTCTGTGCACACCTTGGTCTGGCGTGACCTCGCCCACACTGCACACTGCAGCCATATAAATCAGATTTTTGACATGTTATAAAATGCAAGTCACAGCTGCTGTTGTCTGCAGTATTCAAAAACTTTTGAAACACTGCATGTCCAACAAAATTTATTTTGTGTGTGAATGTAAGTTTTTATTGAGGGTAAGTCCTATTTGTTTGGAAAAAAGAAACAGTATGAGTCAGTGATTTTTAAAAATCAAATAGATTTAATGTTCTCCTTCCTGCCTGTTCTCGCTCGTGTGTGTTCTCTCTCGATTGCTTGCTCGCTGTCTCTGCCTCTCTGCTTGTCTAAGAAAAGAGCTGTTGGCTTTGAGAGAAGACCTTGATATTACAACTGTGTTAGTAGATTGAGATTTCTGTTAGAGTCTTTCTGTTTAGGTCAAAAGTGTTCTTTATAGAACAGAATTGGGAGCTTGTAATCATAATGTAAGTATAAATGCTTCACCTCTTCAGATACATGTTTGAATTCTTTTGTTTCTGTTATAGCAGGAAACTTCATATGTAAGAGTGTCTTATTAGCTACATTGCTTTGCCAGATGCCAGACATTTTTTGTGTTTCTGTGGTTAACATTTTCTTTTTTTTTTTTAATTTAATTTTAAGTTCCGGGATACATGTGCAGGACATTCAGGTTTGTTACATAGTGTGTTTATTACATGTGTGCCGTGGTGGTTTGCTGCACCTATCAGCCCTGGACATTTTTTAAAAGAAAGGTTCGCATGGATTGATAAATGTAATGTGCAATCTATGGTAAACTTAAAAGTGCTTTTATAAAAGTTTTAAAGGTTCTATAGAAGTGCAAAACCTTGAAATGCAATTGAAGATTTTTCTGTAGTACATTTTGGCTATTTTCAATAAATTGAAAAAGTGGAAGTTACTGATTCTACTTAAGAGTCAGATTGTAAATAAGCTTTATGAAAAAGCAGAAACTCAATTCAGTTCATTCAGTTTTGCTTACTGTCTCATATCGTTCATGTAAAATTCCATGTAGTACTCTACTATGTTAATAATGTTTACTAAAAATAAGCCTTATTAGACTTTTCTGCAGAGATATTTAAGATTAAATTACATTATTTAGGCAATGATTTATATTAAGTATGTTATTGATCTTTTAGTTTTGTTCATATTTTTTATTGAAATGTAATAGGTATCTAAAAATGCCGTAACTAAAATTTGTCCCTAGTATATAAATGTCTTTATTATTTTCAACATTTAAGAATATTGCTGTTAGAATATTTGACATTTTGTAATGCCCTTAAAAGAAGACCATTTTCCCTAAATTATTATTTTTTAAACTGTTTTAGGTACTGTTTTTCAACCCTAATCTCTTGACCAAGAATGAAACTATTTACAAATTAAGATGCCAACAGGTAATTTCTTATACATTTATATGTTTTTGTCAATATGTTTCCATAGCAATAGAACAACGATCAAAAATGTATATTAACACAAGGCTGTATTATTCCCTTCCAACATCATTGGAAGAGATGTGAATATGAAATTAATATTTCAAATATGAAATATTTGGTTTTGAGAGACCTTCCTTTATGACATAAAACTATTTTATTTTAGACATATATGTTTTATTGGTTTTATAACCTGATACATTCTAGCTTGTTCTATATCTGAAATCAGCTCAAATAGTAAAGGAAATAGAAGTCAGAATAAAAGTAGATTCAGAAATAGTGATTCAGGTTAGATGAGTTTTCTTTATTGATAAAATAAATGCCAAGTGTTGAGATATGTTTGACTATAATCCGATTAAAACAAGGTCACTAATTTTAGCTGTGATAAAGTTACTTTCTACCCTCAGTGGAAAACCATATATGATGACTCCTTTGATTCTGATATAATGTTAATTTTATTTTTTAGCCAAATTATTCCTGAAAAATTTTATAATCTTGTTGAAAGTTGTTTGATTAGGAAGAAGCATGGCATTGTGTAAAAAAAAAAAATCTCAAAGAATTCATTTTGGTTGATTTTACTTTCTTTTTCACCAGTTCTCTGTAGTTCTGATTTCCTCTTTTCATTTTTATACTCTTTGGGCTATAATGTGATGCTGAAACAGGATTTTCTCAATTCTAAAGTAAAACAAAAGTTTTAAAATTTGAAAATCTGATTGTGGAGATATCTGACTCATAGCAATTATATCTTAGCAAGCATTGATATCTTAGTGGCACATAAATGCTAGATAATTTTTAAAATTAATATACTAATTTTAATGTCAAATCGGAGTCCCAATGGGAGTAATGCCATTTTCTTATTCCCATTAGATGATTCTGGGTCATTTCCTAGACAGAAACAATTAAGAACTAACAACATACAAGATTAAAGCAATATAATTTCCCCTTTAAGGCTGAAAGATAAAATATTCACCAATTTTCTCTTCATAAATTACTAGTATAATGACTCAATGAATCCTTCTGTTATTCTAATTTTTTCTATACAATGGCTTTGGTGGCCGGGGATTTTTTATAAAAGGTCTTGGGGGGTGAGGCTGGAAGGAAGGAGAGGTACCAAGGGAGAAAGGGAAGGCAGAGAGATAAAGACAGATAAAGGAAAGGTCAAAGATAAAGAAAGAAGATGAGGCTGAAGAAAGAGGAAAGAGAGACAAGAAGCAAGAGAGAAGTAAAGGCTTATTTTCTTAATATTCTAAAAGATTTGGCTGTATATCAAGCTATGACTTAGCTTTTTAATTTTTCTTTGTAACTTTAGATATGTCTTTATAGTTAGTAGCTATTACCTAAAATCACCTTGCAAATCAACACCTTATAAGATTATTTTTGGTTTCTGACATTTAGATTGTCATATAGGGACATTTAAAGTTAACTTTGGAAATAAAAAATTAATTATCTAAATCCTTTCCCAGACGCAATTTCAGATATTAATGTATTTGAGACCTAATAGGAAAAACAAGAATCTAAATAAATTCTTGGGACAGGGAAACTCTAGGTAATACTGCCAAATCTCTGTAGTGAGAAAGACCCTGTTTGTTCTAAGATCCTAATCACCTCCTTTTAATCTAACTAATATAGGTATTCCTTATTTCTGTTATTTAGTGTCTAAACCCATTATAGTTAATGGCCATATCTTTAGGACATAATTTTTCTCTCAAAGACATAGAAGTCCCAGTCTGTCAAATAAGGAATAGAATTAAGTCTTTCATTTTGAGAAAAAAAAATTATTCATTCTGATTTTCAGAATTGCTACTTCAGTTTAAGATAGTTATTCCTATTCCTTGTTGCATTAGGAAAACTTTAATTTGCTTTTCTCTATTTTATGTATGTATGTGTTTTAGATCACGAAGAGCCCTGTGGTCCCAGTCACAAGTCATTTTGCCTGAATGGGGGGCTTTGTTATGTGATACCTACTATTCCCAGCCCATTTTGTAGGTGAGTTAAATGGACTAGGGGAAGATGTTAACTTTATTTTTTTATTGTCTACTAACTTCTTTGAGAAGTGATAAAAAGTAAACAAAAAGTGTAAGATGAAAAGGTATGAGGCATATTCTTCATATTTATGTAGGGAAAATTTATCCTTTTAAAACAAAACAAAAACAAATAGCACAATAAAAATCTCACTAATCAAGGTGTTTATTTTGAAAATTGGTAATGGTAGTTCCTAGCCTAGACATATTTTTAAAAAATAATCCCTTTTAGTGAACTCTTTGATTTTAGCAATTTAAGGAAGGCAGTCTGTGCTTAATATTCCTGGCAAAATAGCTAGGGAATTTGCTAATCAAAAAAACCTAATATGAGATATTTTATTTTGAGTTTTTAATACATAAGCACATGATAACAGAGTTGGCACCAAAACTTCCACTTTATATGTTAAAAAGCAAAAGAAGCATTGTTTTTCTAATAGTGGTAGCAAATAAAAAAGAATGATATCTTAGCCACTATTGTTTTAAAATAATATAATTCACTGTGGGAGTACAGATACAGCCAGTGACCCATAAAAAACTTCAAAATAGTACTTCTGTAGCCTGATTCCTATGAGTTGGTTGAATAGGATTTAAGTGTATAATAATAAACCTCTTTTTAGTATATGAATTAACATCATAGTACTGCCGTATACTGTGGAGCTAACACTTAAGATCTAAAGATATTTTGTAACACATGTGAATTACTCTTTTTTGTTCTTTAACCAAACTGAGAAGTATAGAATCTAGATTTAAGATCTTACTGTACATAAAAGGACAGAAAAGTAAAATTCATAGGAAAAGTTGAAGATACTGGGATGTAGTATGGAGGAGAGGAGAGAAAAAGAAATAACCTCACAACTATCTCAAGAAGATTTGGGGAATAGTGCCCCAGTGTTTTTCTTCTCTAGTGAATATGTAAAGGGAAGGGAATGGAGGAACAAATTAACAATTACTTAGCACTCTTGATGTGCCTCAGGAGTACACTCTTTTGGTTTTTTAATCTGTTTTCTGAGATATAATTTATGTATAATGGACTGCATTCATTACAGTGCGCAATGGATTAATTTTGACAGATGTTTGTACCTGTGAAATCACCACCACTATCACATGTAGATGCAGAACACTTCCATAGATAGTCCCCCCCAAATTTTGTTGCTGACTCTGCTCAACACTTAATTCTCACAAACATCTTAGAGAAAGGAGGCAGGGGAGACCTTAGAAAATAATACAAAAAAAAAAAAAAGAGGAGAAAATGAGAAATTAAGTGACATGCCAAAGGTCATATAGCTGGGAAGAAGAAAGATGTCACCTTTGAATACAACTCCCGAGTTTCACTTCACTTTATAATATGTTCATTCTGGATTCTTTCTAAGGTGATATGGCATGTAGCATGTATAAAATAAAACAAGAATGCTTATCAGAAGAAGTGCATTTAGATCAGGCATGGTGGCTCACACCTGTAATCCCAGCACTTTGGGAGGCCAAGGCGGGCAGATCACAGGGTCAAGAGATCGAGACCATCCTGTCTAACATGGTGAAACCCCATCTCTATTAAAAGTACAAAAAATTAGCCAGGCGTAGTGGCACACACCTGTAGTCCCAGCTACTCAGGAGGCTGAGGCAGGAGAATGGCGTGAACCCAGGAGGCAGAGCTTGCAGTGAGCCAAGATCGCGCCACTACACTCCAGGCTGGGCGACAGAGTGAGACTCCATCTCAAAAAAAAAAAAAAGAAGAAGTGCATTTAATAATTTTTAAATACTAATATTTTGTGTCTTGATCTTGATGATGGCTACATGGGTATAAAGACTATTCTTTCTCCATTGGATTGCCTTTGCCCCTTTGTCAAAAATCACTTGATCATTTATGTGCAGGTCTATTTCTGGACTATTCTTTTCTGTTGATCTATGTGTCCTGTCTTTTCACCAATACCAGTCTTGATAAATGTAGCTTTATAATGAGCAAAATCAGATAGCATGATTCCTTAACTTTGTTCTTTGACTCAATGACCTTTAGCCTTATTTTCTAATAGACAGTATTTAATGTTAAAAATTTTCAAATACATTTCTGTTTTACCCTAAAAATATAGTTTGTTGTTCAGTTTTAGGTTTAAACATTTTATCATTATGATTTCTTCTGTAACCTATAGGGTGTTTTCCTATGTTTTTGTATTTGTATCTGATTTAATGGCATTGTGGGCAGAGTGCTTGGTCCATCAAGCTATGCACTTAATGTCTATCTGTATACTAGCTATCTGTTATACCTCACTGAATAAGTTGACAGAAAGAACTAAGAATGCTGGAATTTGGAGATTCATTAAAATGGAAAGAAACCTAGGTTGTCATCCTGCTTTTGTACCTTGGATAGATGCATTTTTAGTGTATTTTCAAAAAGTTACCAATGATAGAGAATGGCCAAGTTTGCTGGCAACCCACAGCGGGTGTAAAAATGTATGTAGTTTCTTCCTAATATCAGAATGTAAGAGTAGTAATTACGGAGTAGTTGAAACCATGCCACATGGGTTCATGATGGATAGAGAATGAAGCAAGGTCACCACATTGCACAACAGCAGGAGATTCTGTGTCTTGGCACCCTCTTTGTAATGTGAATGATGTATCCTGGAGTTGCTAAATACCCTGGAAGGAAGTGAAGTAGGGGAGCCGGGTAGGGAACAAAAGGGCGGCTGAGAGAAAAGGAAAAAAATATAGTGCCTGAAGGTTGAGTGACATTGAATGGCAGATGTATTTTAATTCATATTTTATAAAAATAACTGCTTTCCAATTATCTTAGGAGCACATTTCTAATGTAGCCCTATAGGCTGTAATAGCAATAGCTAAGAGTGATAAACTCATTTTCCATCCCACTTCATACTGTTTTCTGCATTTCCTGTTTCTATTATGACATCTCAACCATCTTGTCACTGAGAAACCCCAGACTTATATTTGACTCTGTCATTGCCCTCTTGTCCAGTTGTCAAATCATATTTCTACCTTTGCTGTATCTCTCATCTCTCTAGTCCTTTCTGTTCTTACTATTATTATACTAGCTCAGAGTTTCTTAACTCCTTGCTTTGTCTATAGAAATAGTTCCTAACCAATTTTCCCAGAGCCTAATTATCATCATCTGTCCAGCTAAAACAAAAAAACTCTTCAGTGACAGCCCTCACACCTACCCATCTACCACTCATGAAGTAATACCTCACTTTTTAGCCTAGCTCTTTCAGCCTTCTACCATTTGGCCCTCAAACTACCTTTGTGGCCATTTCTTCCTTGGTCTGCATTCTAACTAGAACCATTCACTATTTACATTAGATATACTTTGTGTTATGTTGCCTGCCAACCCCTCCTCTTTCTCCTCCTCCTCAGTCTACTCCACATGAAAATGAAAATGAAAAGGATGAAGACCTTTATGATGATCTACTTCCACTTAATGAATAGTAAGAGGTATATTTTCTCTTCCTTACAATTTTCTTTTCTTTCTTTCATGTTTTGTTTTTGTTTTTGTTTTGAGACGGAGTCTCACTGGCTGGAGTGCAGTAGTGCGATGTAACCTCTGCCTCCCAGGTTCAAGCGATTCTCCTGCCTCTCAGCTTCCTGAGTAACTGAGATTACAGGTGTGTGCCACCACACCCAGCTAAATTTTGTGTTTTTAGTAGAGGCAGGGTTTCGCCATTTTAGCCAGGCTAGTCTCAAACTCCTGACCTCAGGTGATCCACCCACCTCAGCTTCCCAAAATGCCGAGATTACAGGTGTGAACCACTGCACCTGGCCTTTTTTTTTTTTTTTTTTTTTTAAGAGACAGGGTCTTGCTCTGTTGCCCAGGCCGAAGTGCAGTGGCTTGATCATAGTTCACAGCAACCTCAAACTCCTGAGCTCAAGTGATGCTCCTGTCTCAGCCTCCCAAGAAGCAGGGACTACAGGCACACGCCACTGCACTTGGTAATTTATTTTTTGTGGAGGATGGGGTTTTGCTATGTTGACTAGGCTGGTCTCAAACTCCTAGCATCAAACTCCCGGCCTTAAGTGATCCTCCCACCTCAGCTTCCCAAGGTGCTGGGATTACAGGTATGAGCCACTTCATCCAGCCCCCTTACGAGTTTCTTAATAACATTTTCTTTTCTCTAGCTTGCTTTATTGTAAGACTATAGTATGTAATACATATAACATATAAAATATGTGTTAATCGACTGTTTATGTTATTAGTAAAGCTTCCAGTCAACAGAAGGCTATTAGTTAAGTTTTGAGGGAGTCAAAAGTTGTATGTGGATTTTTGACTGCATGGGGGTTGGTGCCCCAACCCCTTTATCATTCAAGGGTCAACTGTATTTGTGCCTTAAGATCTAAAATGCTTCTGGTCAGCATATAGTTGCATCATGTGTTTTCGTCCATTTTTCTAATCTCTGTCTTTCATTAGATAATTTAATCTATTTACATTTAAAGTAATTACTGATAAGAAGGGGCTTTTGTAATTTTGTTATTTATTTTCTATATGCCTTATCACTTTTTTGTTTCTCATTTTCTATATTACTGTCTTTTGTGTTTAATTGATTTATTCACAGTAAAACTCTTTTTTCTTTTCTTTTCTTTTTTTTTTTGAGACGGAGTTTTGCTCTTGTTGCCCAGGCTGGAGTACAATGACGCTATCTCGGCTCACCGCAACCTCCGCCTCCCGGATTCAAGCGATGATTCTCCTGCCTCAGCCTCCCGAGTAGCTGGGATTACAGGCACGGCCACCATGCCTGGCTAATTTTGTATTTTTAGTAGAGACAAGATTTCTCCATGTTGGTCAGGCTGTTCTTGAACTCCTGACCTCAGGTGATTTGCCTGCCTCAGCACCCCAAAGTGCTGGGATTACAGATGTGAGCCACTGCACCCAGCCTGTAGTAAAATGTTTAAATTCCTTTTTCATTTCCTTTTGTGTATATTCTATAACTCTTTTCTTTGCATTTACCATGGGGATTAAATTTAACT